TATATATATATATATATATATATATATATATATATATATATATTTATATATATATATATCAACAAGATTGCTTAATTGCGGTAAAACAAAATAATTAATAGTTACAAGCAAATAACAGCTAATTGCAAGTGCCTGATTATTGGATCCACTATACGTTGATTGAAATCTTTAGAATCTATCCAAGTAACTGTCGAAAGACATAACATCTCATAAGTTGTGATAAGATAATTTTTGCTAAGAACAGCTTTGTCTGCAAGATAATGTCCAAATGAGTAATCAGAGTAAAGACATTCTCTTGTAATACTGTCATTATCAACTCTAAAATTATGAAGCTCATTAGTTTCTTAATTATTAGTGTCATTCTAGCAATCATCTAATATGTACTTCAAACTCTCCGATGATAAAATTGCAAAGAGATCTTGACTTTGACTATACGAGTTATAGTATACATGACATTGATGTTCGGTACTCCGACAATATGGTAATCTAATTTTAAATTGAAAATTCAGCTGGTGTACGGATAGGAAAACTATCATCTTTTATTCAATTTTTATCAACTCGTTATCATTTTGTGGCTTGACAATAGAACTAACGTTTACAAAATTATATGAACACTTAGAAATATAAATAAGTAATACAAAAAACCATTATTTGATTATATTTTGAAGATAAATGATAAACTAAATTATGATAGTAAGGTTTAATTATTAAAAATTAATATATTTACTTATTCTCAATAAATATTGCGTTACAGATGTCATAAGGGCATCTAAAAATTATACGCCCTTATGGCACCCAGGAACCATAAGGGCGTATTATAAAAATTCTATTTTTTTCCAAGGACAAAAAAAATTTTTAGTTCAAAGAAAAAAAATTTTTTTGTATTTCTCGATGTTTCATAAAAAAGTACGTCGATTCCCAAAAAACATTTTCTTTATACGCCCTTATGGCATTCGAGGTGCGTCCCGGGTGCCATAAGGGCGTATAAAAAAAAATCTTCTTTCGGGAATTAACTTATTTTTACCTGAAACGACGAGAAATACAAAAAAAAAAATTTTCTTAGAATTAAAAATTTTTTTGTAGACTTAAAAAAATATTAGAATTTTTATTATACGCCCTTATGGCATCTGGAACGCGATATGATAATAACTTATCATGATATATAATTAATAATGATTCTATCATTAAACATTTTAACCAGAATAATATCATTCATAAATAAATGTACGATGATATTCATTTTATTTTTTTTCTGATTTACATTTAGGGCAAAACCAAGTATTAGGTGGCTCTTGTACCAAATCGACGCATACGAAATGACTCCAAAATAAACATTTGTCACATTCTATGCTGTCACTTGTTCCAAGATCTTTTTCACACTGATTGCAACTCCAGTGAGGACTTTCGCGTTTTTTACTAACTGATTTTTTAAAACTCTTGAAAGCGTCTTTTTCAAAAAATTCTTCCAGTATTTCGAATTTAATTGTTTCGCTTCCTAAAGCATCTGGAATATTTGGTATTAAATGAGTTAGCTCAGCAGTTGAAATTTTTTTTAATTTTGTTAGAACACTTTCGATCAAATTTTTATCATTCAGTATTAATTTAATTAAATAAATTTTTTTCTTTACTACACTTAATTCGTCAAACGTCAGTATGTTTCTTGTGTTTTCTGGGAAGCTAGCAACGCGATTTTTTCGGCCCCGGTTACGGCCCCGGGATCGACTTAAACATACGGAAAGAGTCCCGATTTTTGAGGCCACGTCTATGTCATTATATTTATTTATTATTTCAGTCAATAAACTAATTTTTCTCATTTGCTTTTCTTCATCAGTCGAAGATGCAATGTTTAGATCAAGTTGTTTCAATAAAAACTTAAAATCATCATCATCATCATCAATCACTGGAGCATACGGAATTTCATCATCTGTTATTGTACTGGCAACTTGTAGAGTTGAAGACGTCACTTCATCCTATTCAAAACAATTTTGATTTCATGTATTGATGTTATTAAAATTTTTCATATGAATTACAGATTGACATTGAACAAATGTAATTATGGTTTTCAATACTTACGTTTGCTCCAGTGATAACGGAAGAATGAATTTGCTGCTTGTTTTGCAAGTTTGATTGAGAGGAACTAGCCGAAGGTTCGTTAATTTCTTCACTATGCTAAAAAATAATTTAAACATTAACATAAATATCATATTATTTATGGCGAGAAGTTAAAATCAAATACTACTAAAGAATGTTTTTTAGAGCTAAAATATTTAACCAATTATAAACGTTTAAATAAAAGGAAACCACTTAATAGAACATAAAATGAGTCAGTTTGGTCAAATATTAGTAACAATAATTATCTTTGAAGTAATCGTGAATTGATTTAAACTTGTTTAGTACTAAACAGTAAAATTTATTATACATAAAAAGTATAAATATCTTACAACTAAATCACCTATCTCGATTGTAATATCAAACAAATTATAAATTTTTAAATTGAATTTATGTATTATATCTTATGGAGAGTAATGCATTTATGATGACTAAACAGTACGTTCTTCCAGTTCTTTATTGTTCCAGCTATTAATATAACATTGACTATTAATAAATTTTATATCGTGTAGCATTAGAAGTATCTTAAAGTTACACAGAAACTATTTTCTTTCACCGTCCTTAGAATCATAAATCAATTATAGATCTATGATCATCTAATCAAAAGAAATATATTCGTAAAATAATATCATCGTCGATCATCTTCAACTTTATAATGTTACAACCAAATTTTGCGTTGATTCTAGAAGAAATAGTTTGTTGGATCATTTTTTAAATATTGTGTATGACAAATAAAAATTAAAAGTTCGTTGATTACGCTAATCAATTATAGAGTATTGAATAATGATAAAAGTTGTCGATGGTAATTTTAACACTAGACTAAATCAATATTTTTTACTGATACAAATAAAGTATCAAGAAAGAAAATTCAATTGTCAAAAAGAAAAACAATTTGATCCTATAAAACTGACTTTAATTAGCTTCTATCATTTATCATGATATAAATATTTCCTTATACTTTCAGAAAATTTGCAGTGAAAAAAATTAAATGAATAGTTGATTTTTAAAACAAATGAACATTTGATTTTCATAAAAACTACTTCAATATTTATTCATTTAATATTTTCACTTGTTATAGATAATCAAAAATATGAATCTAATTTTCTGGTTTAATTATTAGAAAAATTATAAATTTAATTATAGATATTAATTTAAACAACTTACAAAATTAGCTAGAGTTTATGTATGGTTTACGTAGCTCAGTTTAACTATACGTAAAAATTAAAGTACCTCTATATACTTACTGTAATGTTAGCACTGCGAATAGTGTTTGCAATTATTTTATCTTTAGCTTCCTTAAGTCGTGAGATCTGTAAAATGTTTATTTAAAAAAATTAATATTTTGAGTACTTTAATCTCCGACAAATTCAAATGCGGCTGCTGTTTTAATGTATAAATATTAAAATTTCTTCGAAAGTAACAAATAAATGAGACTGTTAACTAAAAGTTTTCAAACTGTGAAGATAGTATTAATATTATGTATTTTTTGACAATAACTAATAAAATTTGTATGTAAGCAAATAAAGAATGGAAGGAATTCTTCATAAATATGAAAAACTATATCTTGAATTTCTCTATGAGTAACTAATTGCAAAAAATATTTGTGAATTTTGACAAAAAAAAGTCTGAAGGCAGCCAACACCATTCTTCTTAGGTCATCGAAATAACGTTCATTATTAATAAAAATTTAGCCGACATTTAATAATTTTTAAAATTTTTTCTTTTTTTTAAATTATTACAAAAAAATAAGAAAAATTATTTCATTTGTAAAAAACTTAAAAAACTTTAATTTAAGTGCAATTTTTTAAAAATATTTTTTTGTTCTAATTTAATTAATAGAAAAAAATAAAAAAATTAGAAATGTCGGCTAACTTTAGTATTATTAATTATTATAACTACCTTATTCGAGGAATCATGATCGTGATTTGGTTCAAATTGTGTAATTACTAATGCTTGCTTGTCCTTGGTTGTTCTAAAAGTTAAATGTGCAGGACACTCTATCACCTTAACACTATAAAATGTATATATTATTGAATGGATTATAAAAATTTCTAACCAACTTTTATATGCATTAAAAAAATAATTATATAACCTACCCAGGATTTTCTTTTTCAAATTTTATCTTGTCTGATCGTTTTGGATTTACAACACATTTGAAATATTTATCATCATAAATTAAGTCGTTATTATATTTAGTTTTATCGATGTTCAATGATTTGAGTGTAACACTTGTGCGAGTGTTGAACTCGTGATTTGTAGTCGATCTATATAAATCTAATTTTTTTTCTACATCTTTGTAATTTAGAAATAGATCTCCTACTTTAAATATTGATTGATTCATAGTCATCTTAAATCGTCCAAAAAAATTTACTTTTTTAATAATCAATTGATGTAAGTATGACTATTTACGTTTGATTTTCCTCAGAAGCGATTTTCTCACTAACCTAATATCGAAGAGAAATTAATCGCTAAGCTATAGGTATTTTGTACAACATAACATAAGTAAATAGTGAGTAGTACTGACAATCGATAAAGTAGGTTTTCAACGTAAGTATACTAACTACGCCCAATTATAATACAAAATCAAACGATGGTACAATGTTTTATTCAACTTCTTGGTTATTCCCATAGAAATATCAACTGCGCCAAGTTGGTAAGAATGAAACAGAAAGAAATACGAGAAATAAAAGAGAGTTTAAAAATATAATTACAACTGAGCGATTGATCGTGAGAGACGTTAAAAAGTAAGACAGAAAAAAAGGGAACGCACTAGGATCAGAGCAACCTAAACAGTTAGTATAACAATTCGTCAATTATAAAAATAAATTCGAAAATAACTTATGAAATATTTGATAAAAATTAAAGACTTATTTAATATTAAATTATCTTTTAAATCTAACTAAAAACTTTATCAGACTTCTATTAGTTTTAACATTATAATTTTAATTAAGGTTATAAAGCTGTTAACCGCGCGAATAATTTTTATCAACATAATTAATTAAAATTTTTATAAATTATTTTATTACAGAATAAATAGTTTATAAAAAATTGAACGATAAAATGGTAAAATTTTTGAATCACTATCACTAAGAGTAATTTTAATTAATAAACAAAAAATATTTTTTGTTTAGAAAAAATTTTTAGAAGATAATAAAATAAAAATAAATTAGTTAAAATTTTTGAAAACCAAAAATCTAATTTTTTGAAAATAATTGTTAACCGCTAATTTGATAAATATTTATTTAAGAATTGAAATTGAAAAATGAAGTCTGTCAAGTGTAATACAAATTTATATAAAATTTATTAAGTGTCACAAAGATATATATATATATATATATATATATATATATATATATATATATATATATATGTTTGTCTATCGGATGTTTTGGGGACAGTAGATAGAAACTCGTTTAAATAGTAGAAAACGTCGATATAGATTAAACTACATTAATATTTCTGTGAACTATAATTATTTTTTTGATTTTTTATACAATTTGTTATCGATTGTATGATATGAGACCAGTTCTATAATGGATCATCTGAGGACCTATAACTTTGTTCAAGTATCGACTGCTATGAGGACATCTATACTGAACGTATTAATATAGGATAATCTAAGAAAGCTACGAAAAATGCATGAATAGCTATACAAGACTTCAATGTCATGAATCTTCCAAAAAAAATAAATTATGCCTTGAGCGTCAATCAAATTATATCACATATAAAGGAATATTTAACTGATTCAAACGAAAATTTCTTGAATTACATAAAATTATTGAATTTAGATAATAATTTTATAGATTTCATTCATTTCAATTAAGATAAATAATTCGCTATTCAACTTAAATTCACTTGAGTCATTGAACATTTTCACGTTCAAGAATTTGTCTACTTCAATCAAGACAATGAAATTCTTGGAAATAATTTTTTTTATCAAAAGATTTTTTTTTTCATTAAGTTAATTTTTTTCTCATTTTTATTTGATCTTAAACAAGTTATAAAATAGTTTTCATGTGTTTTGAGTTATTTTCCACATTTATACTTAGAAAGTGAATTTTTCCGAGATCGGATAAAGGAAAATCAAATGTCGCGCAAAAAACCACATACAAACCATTGCAAGTACAAAACAATGTCCTCATAATGACTGTTTCCGAGAATGAAAATGTCTCCATAGTTGTCTGATGTCCTCATAGAATACAAACGGTAAAATTTACACATTACCGTATATTTCGCTACTTATGTACTATGAAGACATCAAACAACTATGGAGACATTTTCATTCTATGGAACAGTCATTATGAGGACATTAGTATAATTTGATGAACGTATTCATATAGTCTATATTTCAAAGATATTTGTAAAGTGACTGTTTTAAAAATGGTTACATTCTGCTTCTTTCAATTTCCCGTACATATTTATTCCCGTATAATTACTACTCATTTAATTGATTAAATCAATGGATTTGAACTTAAGTTACTAATTTTTTTTCTTTTTCATAAAAATGAGAATAATCTGAGAAAACTCAGAAAAATGTATGCTTTAAGACATTTAAGGAAAATCAATTTTTTCTTAAGCGCCGATCAAGTCATATTGCATACAAAAGAATATTTAATTGATTCAAGCGAAAAATTATTGAATAACATGAAATTTTACACTGATAAAAATTTTAACTTGACTCAAGAGCAAAAATCTTAAACCAAGAACACCAATTGGAAAAAAATGAATTTCTTGAGCCAAGAGAAAAAATTCTTGAATCAAGATAGATTCTCTTGAATTAAGAAAATATATTTTGATTCAAGAATTTTTCCTCTTGACTCAAGAAATTCATTTTCTTCCAATGGGTGTTCTTGGTTCAAGATTTTTGCTTTTGAGTCAAGTTAAAATTTCTATCAGTGTAGAATTTAGATAATAATTTCAAAGAGTTCATTATTTTGAATCGAGACAAATAATTCATTATTCAACTAAAATTTACTTGAGTCACAGAACATTTTCGAGTTTAAAAATTTTTCCTGCTTTAATTAAGATGGTAACATTCTTTAAAATAATTTTTTTTAATTAAAATATTTCTTTCCTTCAATTAAATTAATTTTTTTTTTACAGTTCAATTTGATTTTAAACAAATTATTAAGTACTTTCCACGTGTTTTGTATTATTTTCCTTATTTTTGTGTATTTTTTCGAACAAATGTCTTGCAGAGCCCCCATACAAACCGTTGCAAGTACAAACTAATGCCCTCATAGTATACAAACAGTAAAATTTACAGATTATTGTAGATTTCATCGTTTGTACACTATGAGGACATCAGACAACTATGGAGACATTTTTATTTTATGAAACGGTTATTATGAGGACATTGGTTTAATTTACTGAATGTATTAATATTGTATATACTTTGAGGATATTTTTATGATGACTGCTTTTTAAATGCTAATACTCTGATTTTTTCAATTTTTCGTACATATTTATAGCAATTACTGCTCATATAATTGATAAAATCGATGATTTTAAACACTCGTTACTATTTTTTTTCTTTTTTTCTTTTTTATAAATATGAAAGATAATCTAAGAAAGCGAAGAAAAATGTATGCATAGTTTTCTAATACTTCAAATCAGTCATGAATGCATCAACGGAAATAAATTATGCCTTAAGCATCAATAAAATTATATTACATACAAAAGAATGTTTGATTGCTTCAAGCAAAAAATTATTGAATGATGTGAGACTATTGAGTTCAGATAATAATTTTGAGGGGTTGATTGGTTTGAATTACGACAGAAAATTCTTGATTCAACTAAAATTTACTTGAGACACAAAACATTTCCAAGTTCAAAGATTTGTCTACTTCAATCAAGACAATAAAATTCTGCAAAATATTTTTTTTAATTAAAGGATTTTTTTTTTATCAACTTAATTTCTTTTTTTATGATTTTAATTTAATTTTAAACAAATTATCGAGTACTTTTCACGTGTTTTGTATTATTTTCCTTATTTCTGTGTATTTTTCCGAAAACGGAAAAAGGTGAAATAAATATCTCGCAGAGCTCCCATACAAACCGTTGCAAGTACAAACTAATGTCCTCATATTGACTGTTCCATGGAATGAAAATGTCTCCATAGTTATCTGATGTCCTCATAGTATACAAACAGTAAAATTTACAGATTATTGTAGATTTCATCGTTTGTACACTATGAGGACATCAGACAATTATGGAGACATTTTTATTTTATGAAACGGTTATTATGAGGACATTGGTTTAATTTACTGAATGTATTAATATTGTATATGCTTTAAGGACATTTGTATGGCGACTGCTTTTAAAATGCTAATACTCTGATTTTTTCAATTTTTCGTACATATTTATAGCAATTACTGCTCATATAATTGATAAAATCGATGATTTTAAACACTCGTTACTATTTTTTTTCTTCTTTTCTTTTTTATAAATATGAGAGATAATCTAAGAAAGCGAAGAAAAATGTATGCATAGCTTTCTAATACTTCAAATCAGTCATGAAGGTATCAACGGAAATAAATTATGCCTTAAGCATCAATAAAATTATATTACATACAAAAGAATGTTTAATTGCTTCAAGCAAAAAATTATTGAATGATGTGAGACTATTGAGTTCAGATAATAATTTTGAGGGGTTGATTGGTTTGAATTACGACAGAAAATTCTTGATTCAACTAAAATTTACTTGAGACACAAAACATTTCCAAGTTCAAAGATTTGTCTACTTCAATGAAGACAATAAAATTCTGCAAAATATTTTTTTTAATTAAAGGATGTTTTTTTATCAACTTAATTTCTTTTTTTATGATTTTAATTTAGTTTTAAACAAATTATCGAGTACTTTTCACGTGTTTTGTATTATTTTCCTTATTTCTGTGTATTTTTCCGAAAACGGAAAAAGGTGAAATAAATATCTCGCAGAGCCCCCATACAAACCGTTGCAAGTACAAACTAATGTTCGCTATTATTTTCTTTCTTATCACATTAAAATTATAGTATCTCATTTATTTTTTTTGTTATTACAGAAAATTATAATAAAGTCATCTAAACTATTAAATGGTAAATGAATTATTCTTGAGTCTATTGGTGTTATGATATTTTATAAGAATCCACGCTAAGAATATTGTAAGTATAAATGAAGTGAACAAAGATATATAAACTTCACTGCTTGTACACTATGAGAAGATCGAGCAACTATCGAGACATTTTCATTTTATGGAATAATCATTATAAAGACACTGGTACGTGCTTGTGACGGTTAATATGAGGAATTAAAAAAAATTTATTGATCCACGTAAGTTGTACGAAATTTTCCTCATTTCTATTTGGAGAGTGTATTGTATTGGACATGAAGGAAAGGAAAAACAAATTTCTTCCAAAGTTTTCATACAAACCGTAGCAAGTACAAACCAATGTCCTCACAATAACTGTTCCATAGAATGAAAATGTCTTCATAGTTGTCTGATGTCCTCATAGTGTACAAACGATGAAATTTACAATAATCTGTAAATTTTACCGTTTGTATACTATGAGGACATCAGACAACTATGAAGACATTTTCATTCTATGGAACAGTTATTGTGAGGACATTGGTTTGTACTTGCTACGGTTTGTATGAAAACTTTGGAAGAAATTTGTTTTTCCTTTCCTTCATGTCCAATACAATACACTCTCCAAATAGAAATGAGGAAAATTTCGTACAACTTACGTGGATCAATAAATTTTTTTTTAATTCCTCATATTAACCGTCACAAGCACGTACCAGTGTCTTTATAATGATTATTCCATAAAATGAAAATGTCTCGATAGTTGCTCGATCTTCTCATAGTGTACAAGCAGTGAAGTTTATATATCTTTGTTCACTTCATTTATACTTACAATATTCTTAGCGTGGATTCTTATAAAATATCATAACACCAATAGACTCAAGAATAATTCATTTACCATTTAATAGTTTAGATGACTTTATTATAATTTTCTGTAATAACAAAAAAAATAAATGAGATACTATAATTTTAATGTGATAAGAAAGAAAATAATAGCGAACTAAAATTGAGGCAATAATAATGAATACAATTATGAGCAGTACTGTCTATTATTTTTAAAAATATAAAAATAGTGGTTCGTATCTATACGAAAACTAGAAAATTAAAATTTAATAATTTCCATGACGATAAATACATTCTATATGCATTTTAGATTTTTTAAGAACAACGTATAAAATTGTTTAACTTTAACATCAAATAATATATCATTAAATAATATAACATCAAATAATAATTAGTATGATGAAATCTTTGTAATTTAACTTATAAGTCCAGAGACTTATCATAGAGTTTTAAAAATTAAGAAAAATAGCATAAATGAAAACGAGAAATTAATTATTCATTTTTTTTTGTATGTATGTAGCCATGATCTCATTTGTGGAACAGAACGCCCTTTGAAACAATCATGTGTATTTATCAATTCTTGCATCTCTTTTCCTGACGGTACATTCCCATTTTCTAAATGTCTCTTAAAAGCTGATAAAACAGTCGACTTTGCTTCATCTGTCCAAGTTTTCGGCGCTGAATTATCAAATTTTAAAGACGATTGATTGATGCGAGACTGAACACTGAATCTTGAAGTATCAGGTCCATAAACTGAGTCACTTTGTGAAACATTTGGTTCACTCATTGTGACACGTGATGTGCTTGGCTCAGCCTCATCATCTGATGAATCATCGCTGCTATCATTGACACCTTGCACCATCTGTAGAATTTTGGACATTTTTACAATGTCAGTAGCAGCCACTGGTTGCCGATATATTTTTTTGTGAATATCTTCATGATGGCCCATGAAGTTAGCGAGGTCTGTAACCTGATTGCCTTCTAGATTTAAATTGATGCATCTAGTAGCAACGTGCTTTCGCAACTTAGTTCCGCGAAGGTGACAAGGAAAGTCAGCACCACATTTTGCTGCATGTTGCCTTAGCAAATAACAAGCGCCTAAAGATCTATGCCGATCCTTGTCGAGAGATGGCATTCCAAAGAAGTACTCATTTTTACGCGATACTTGAGCATCTTTGCGGTACTTGAAAACTAAATCCATGCATTCTTTTAGATCTTCATCAACCAAAACTGCAACAGTTCGATTACGTTTTCCACGAATTTCAAAGCGCTTGTACCTCTTCGCTAATGCTTTTCCTTCTGGGGCCAAGGTCTCATAAATTTCTCTATCAGCCATATCATTGATACCGCGACAGCTCTGAAAATTTTTTACGAACAGCCGCTCTATTTCACCAGGGCGACGTCGATTGAAAACCAGCAATGACAATAGGGTCATTTCAGATAGCTTTTTCCACGATTTAAAAGAAAATTTGACCTGCAATTCTTGAAAATATTTATTTCTTTCATCTACAAGGTACTTATAGAGCTTTTGAATGTCGTTTGTACTGGGAAGAACTACTTCCTTCGTTCTGAAATGCTGCGTTTGTGTTTCTGTTACTATCCTGTTGATGCTGGTTCCATAGTCTTCTTCAAGTAGCTTAAGAAAATCTTCAACCTTTTTTTGATTCTCTTTTTCTTCTTTTTTAATATATTCAGATCTCAAAATTTCTCCAACTTTTTTTAACAAAGTTCCTATAGTTGATCCAACCGCTGGATGCAGAAAGGTTTTTGTTTCTGGAAGAAAAACAGCAACTTTTTTGACAGCTTCAATTAAAAAGTCATAGTGACGGGGCTGGAATATGTGTGTAAAACTTGTAATATGCGAGTTTAGTGATTTGATTGCTACAAGTAGTCGACCCAATAACCTCAATCTGGATCTTACCATTTGATAAAGATGCTGATTAGTGCCATACTGCTCGCATTGTTTGTTGGCAAAAACTATCAGCAACTCGTCGTACCTGATAGACCGAACTACCTCATCCTCACGGAGATATGGAAAGATATGTTTCCTTACATCAGCATTGGCTCTCTCATGAAGTCTTGCACTTACTTTCTTTCCTTTTACTAAAACAATTCTTTGGCCTTTCGAATTCTGTTTTGTACACTTACGCCAATGATGGCGGATGACAAGCCTTGAATATTGACCCTTGCAGTTACCACACGCGATGAAGTCTTCAGCTTTTTTTTCTCTGCATGCAGCTGGACGTCGGCACACAATTAATTTTCCACTGTTGAATTGGCGATCACTGTTATAAACATGATCACCATTTTTTCTTATAACAGAAATAATCTGTTGTCTTTCTTGGCTTCTTACGGGTAGTGCCATAAATTTTTTTACTTCTTCTTGGTCGTGATGTTTTAATTGTAAGTGTCGAGCAATTTTGGCCTGAAATTTCTTGCAAAATAAACAGAAATGTTTTTTTGCTGTGCGTGATGTTGGGTCCACTAATAATTCCCTGTCGTCTGGAGCAGACGCTTTTGAATTTTGGTCAACAGTAATTGTATCATTCAGAGAATCAGAAAACGTCTGTTCTGTTCTTAAATCTGCATCAAGTTCATCGTCATCTTGAAATTCATGATTCTCGTCGTACTCTGACTCAGAAGACTCCTCATTACTATCAGGCTTATACTCATCTTCATCGTCTCCTGATTCACCAAAATATGATTCAACTCCTCTTGCAGCTTTGTCTTCTTCTTCTGGTTCTTTCTCTTCATTTTCTTTCGCTTCTCGCTCTATTTCTTTTTTCTGCTTTCTTCTCTTCATTTTTGTTTCTAAATTTTGAAGACCAGAATTAGTATCATCATATTTTCTTTTTTTTGGTAATTTTATGCACACCTTTTCCTCGGAAACAATCTTTGGCTTAATTTTTTCTTTACTGTTGTCTTTCTCAGGTTCTATATTCTCAGAAATTGTAGTCTTTTCTGTAATTCGAGCAATAGTTTGTCCATTGATTCCATGAGAATTTGCTATTCCTTGTTCTAAAGTATGATATTTGGGTAAATTAACTTCATTGTTAATTAAAGAAAATTTTGAAATCCCGTTATTCAATTTAAGCACTTGACTAAGTTGAGAAATTTCCAAATTCAGGTCAAGGAGAGAATGGTTGATTGGTTCTTCAGTAAGTTCTATGAACGAACCTTGTATAGTATTCTGAAGGGTGCCGTTGAAAATTTGATGAAGTTCGTTACAATTTTTCGGATTATCAGATTCGTGAACAGTATATGTCTTGTCATAGCCAGAAGATTCTATCGTTTGCTTATGACTTATCTCAGATAAATTAACGAAGATTTTTTCTTCTGTTGATGATTGATCAATAGAAAATTTTGACTCCAACTGACCTGTTGATATTAATTTAGAGAATTAGAAAAGATCTATAAATGTCTACAAAGAGAAAAACAATATCGGGAATGTTGTATGTATTACCTTGACATTTTTGTTGCACATCTGAATGAGATAAATTCAGTAGACTGAGACCTTCCTGCACATTGTTGATTAATATCAATTGTCCTGTTGCTTGAAGTTCCGGGGAATCATGTGAAATTAGAAACTCTGATGGTCTAGGACCACTAATAGCGCTTAATAAATTTGTACCGTGATCAATGCTTGGATCAACTATACATAACTTTTCAGGGATGTTCAGATATCTAATGCTATTTTCCTTTTGTTCCGCATCTGATGAACATATGACTACAGGATTGCAACCCTCCTTGAGTGTACTGTTAAAAGTTGGATTTCCTATTGCTTGAAGTATTAAAAAATTGGATGCTGCTTCAAGAATTGGAGGATTTAATTGTAGAGATTTATCAATAGTAACTGATAAACTTTCATCTTCAACAATATTTGATTGAATTATATTTGTCTTTGCAAGCATTTTGGGCTCTTCAATGCAACGGTTTTTTTGTTCTGTATGGAGATTAGATGGTGAAAATTTTGAAAAATCACTAGGGGCATCCAAACTTTTAACCTTTGATGGAGAATATTCATCAGCGGATATTAGTGGAATTTCATCATCAGGAGCATCTTTAGTCATTGACTTTGACATAGATTCCTGAATCGTGTCATCATCATTTATTATAATCTTTGATGGAGAACATTTATCAGCAGATGTTGGTGAAATTTCATCATCAGAAAGGTTTTTAGCCATTGACTTTAACATAGATTCCTGGGACGTGTTTTCGTCGTTCACTGTAACCTTTGGTGGAGAACATTCATTAGCAGATATTGGTGGAATTTCATCGTCAGGAAAGTCTTTAGCCATTGACTTTGACATAGATTCCTGAATCTTGTCATCATCATTCCTTATAATCTTTGATGGAGAACATTTATCAGCAGATGTTGGTGAAATTTCATCATCAGAAAGGTTTTTAGCCATTGACTTTAACATAGACTCCTGGGACGTGTTTTCTTCGTTCACTGTAAATTGTAATGCTACAAAAAAGTTTCTAGGTTATAAACATTACAATCAAATTTTTAGTTACCTCGTTTTATTCGCTTGAAACGTGGCTGTTTCAAAACAAATTTGTAAATATTTATATCTTGATCAAAATTGAAGCATTGAATTAGGTTATCGGATAGTGATTTTTTAAATAAATTTTCATCGATGAATAGTACATGCTCTTTTACATCTTTTGAAAAATCTTTTGAAACTTGAGAGAATGATTTTGATGGGATATTTTCTAATTCCCAAACGCCCTGCATGTGGTTAGTTGTTCCATGAATATTTTTCATTATTCCAGTCAAAATCATTTTATCATCTAAAAAAAAAGACAAAAAATTTAATTGGACATGACAATGATTGAACAAAAAAAAGTATAATAATGTATAGAAAGTAAGAAAAATAAATTTTACTTACGACAAATCGCCATAACACGAGCTGCATATTTTTTATTATCACTATATTTCACCATACACTTTTTACGAACAGTGGAAACATTTTTTAGCGGACAAACGTGCCAAATTTCATCTTGATAGAGCACTAAAACGTACATAGTGAATAATGATACAAAACTTGTTGTTAATATTTTTAATTATATCGTCAATTTTCGATATCCTCTCTATGATGAGTTAAAACAAAGAGTTGACGCCATATTAATGCGTCATTATGATTAAATGGCAGGGATACCAGTCAATTCCATAAACAAATCAGAGAGATGGTACAATTCGATCGATCAAGTATGAATCAGAGTTATCGACAGAGCTTAAATCGACTTCACGTTACAAACAAGAAACGAATTTCTTCCAAAGTCTTCATACAAATCATTGCAAATACAAACTAATGTCCTCATAATGACTGTTCCATGGAATGAAAATGTCTCCATAGTTATCTGATGTCTTCATAGTATACAAACAGTAAAATTTACAGATTATTGTAAATTTCATCGTTTGTACACTATGAAGACATCAGACAACTATGGAGACATTTTTATTTTATGAAACGGTTATTATGAGGACATTGGTTTAATTTACTGAATGTATTAATATTGTATATGCTTTGAGAACATTTGTATGGCGACTGCTTTTAAAATGCTAATACTCTGATTTTTTCAATTTTTCGTACATATTTATAGCAATTACTGCTCATATAATTGATAAAATCGATGATTTTAAACACTCGTTACTATTTTTTTTCTATTTTTCTTTTTATAAATATGAGAGATAATCTAAGAAAGCGAAGAAAAATGTATACATAGCTTTCTAATACTTCAAATCAGTCATAAATGTATCAACGGAAATAAATTATGCCTTAAGCATCAATAAAAATATATTACATACAAAAGAATGTTTAATTGCTTCAAGCAAAAAATTATTGAATGATGTGAGACTATTGAGTTCAGATAATAATTTTGAGGGGTTGATTGGTTTGAATTACGACAGAAAATTCTTGATTCAACTAAAATTTACTTGAGACACAAAACATTTCCAAGTTCAAAGATTCGTCTACTTCAATCAAGACAATAAAATTCTGCAAAATATTTTTTTTAATTAAAGGATGTTTTTTTATCAACTTAATTTCTTTTTTTATGATTTTAATTTAATTTTAAACAAATTATCGAGTACTTTTCACGTGTTTTGTATTATTTTCCTTATTTCTGTGTATTTTTCCGAAAACGGAAAAAGGTGAAATAAATATCTCGCAGAGCCCCCATACAAACCGTTGCAAGTACAAACTAATGTCCTCATAGTATACAAACAGTAAAATTTACAGATTATTGTAGATTTCATCGTTTGTACACTATGAGGACATCAGACAACTATGGAGACATTTTTATTTTATGAAACGGTTATTATGAGGACATTGGTTTAATTTACTGAATGTATTAATATTGTATATACTTTGAGGACATTTGTATGGTGACTGCTTTTTAAATGCTAATACTCTGATTTTTTCAATTTTTCGTACATATTTATAGCAATTACTGCTCATATAATTGATAAAATCGATGATTTTAAACACTCGTTACTATTTTTTTTCTATTTTTCTTTTTATAAATATGAGAGATAATCTAAGAAAGCGAAGAAAAATGTATACATAGCTTTCTAATACTTCAAATCAGTCATAAATGTATCAACGGAAATAAATTATGCCTTAAGCATCAATAAAATTATATTACATACAAAAGAATGTTTAATTGCTTCAAGCAAAAAATTATTGAATGATGTGAGACTATTGAGTTCAGATAATAATTTTGAGGGGTTGATTGGTTTGAATTACGACAGAAAATTCTTGATTCAACTAAAATTTACTTGAGACACAAAACATTTCCAAGTTCAAAGATTCGTCTACTTCAATCAAGACAATAAAATTCTGCAAAATATTTTTTTTAATTAAAGGATGTTTTTTTTATATATATATATATATATATATATATATATATATATATTTGTCTATTGGTTATTATGAGACCATTTTATCCTATATAAAGTATTATTTGAGGACATGTGGCTATTTCGAAGACAGTCCTCATAATTCTTTTCATATTTTGTATACTTCGAAGACTGTCTTCAAAGTATACACCGTCAATATAAAGGTTTAATTGAGGACTTCATCACTAATAAGTGTAAACGGGGACAATGTCCCCATAATATTTAATCACCAGAAGTATGATTTGAGGACAGACGTAGATTAGTCAAAGGTATTAAATAATAGGTAAAAACACGTAATGATTCTAAAAAGTTGTTATGATTAATTTAGTTTGTAATCCATACACTATGTTTGATTATAATGAATGTTCATGACATTTTTTTGAGTTTGTCGACTGATTACAGCAAATCGTAAACACGGTCAATATTAGAATTGACATCAAAGGAATAAAAATTATTGGCCAGACTTCGAATCAATTACAAAGATTAAATATCAGCAATTCAAAAAAATTTTTGTTTATTTGATTATTTTAAAAAACGATCGGATTTATAAATTTCATAAATTGATATAACAACAAATGCTATTATTATTAGGAATTAGTAATTTTAAAATGTGTGTAGTAATTTTTACTAAAACGATGACAAATAATCATTAAAAAACTATTAAGCTGGAAGGAAAAATTATAAAGATTTATATCGGTTTGTTCTAGTAACGGTTCGTATGAGAACTCTGGGAGAAATTTTTTTTTCTGCATAAGTTGCACAAAATTTTTCTTATCCGTACTTAGAGACTGAATTTTTCTAGACGTGAAGAAAAAAACAAATTTCCTCCAAAGTTTTCATACAAGCCGTTACAAGTACAAATCAATGTCCTCACAATGACTGTTCCATAGAATGAAAATGTCTTCATAGTTGTCTGATGTCCTCATAGTGTACAAACGATGAAATTTACAATAATCTGTAAATTTTACCGTTTGTATACTATGAGGACATCAGACAACTATGAAGACATTTTCATTCTATGGAACAGTCATTGTGAGGACATTGATTTGTACTTGTAACGGCTTGTATGAAAACTTTGGAGGAAATTTGTTTTTTTCTTCACGTCTAGAAAAATTCAGTCTCTAAGTACGGATAAGAAAAATTTTGTGCAACTTATGCAGAAAAAAAAATTTCTCCCAGAGTTCTCATACGAACCGTTACTAGAACAAACCGATATAAATCTTTATAATTTTTCCTTCCAGCTTAATAGTTTTTTAATGATTATTTGTCATCGTTTTAGTAAAAATTACTACACACATTTTAAAATTACTAATTCCTAATAATAATAGCATTTGTTGTTATATCAATTTATGAAATTTATAAATCCGATCGTTTTTTAAAATAATCAAATAAACAAAAATTTTTTTGAATTGCTGATATTTAATCTTTGTAATTGATTCGAAGTCTGGCCAATAATTTTTATTCCTTTGATGTCAATTCTAATATTGACCGTGTTTACGATTTGCTGTAATCAGTCGACAAACTCAAAAAAATGTCATGAACATTCATTATAATCAAACATAGTGTATGGATTACAAACTAAATTAATCATAACAACTTTTTAGAATCATTACGTGTTTTTACCTATTATTTAATACCTTTGACTAATCTACGTCTGTCCTCAAATCATACTTCTGGTGATTAAATATTATGGGGACATTGTCCCCGTTTACACTTATTAGTGATGAAGTCCTCAATTAAACCTTTATATTGACGGTGTATACTTTGAAGACAGTCTTCGAAGTATACAAAATATGAAAAGAATTATGAGGACTGTCTTCGAAATAGCCACATGTCCTCAAATAATACTTTATATAGGATAAAATGGTCTCATAATAACCAATAGACATATATATATATATATATATATATATATATATATAGACAATAACGATATCAAAAAATTTCATAATTACTTTAGATGGAGCAGAGAGAAGAAATGTTTTATGTCGGAAGACAATTTGATAGTTATGAGGCTTGGAACGATGTATTCGAGGATTACAAAAAAAAAAATAAACTTGTATATATAATTAGAAGCAGTCATCCTTTGAAAACAAGTTCGAAGATCCCACAATCCATTGTTGATACTTTTAAGTATTCAGATGTAACATTTCAATGTAAATTTGGTCCACGTCGTGAATCAACAGCCACAATCCGTCAGACAAGGTAACAAAATTTTATTAAATGATTTCTAAGAATAGTGTATTGAAAGATTTAATATCCATTTTGACTTTTTTTTACATGTAAAAATGAACTAATTAAGTTATCATGAAGGAAAATTAATGTTTTTTTATGTTAAACTTGTAAAATTTGTAAATATTTTGCAGTACCTGCAAGATGAATTGCCACAGTTACATCAAAATTTCATTGAAAGGCACGAAATATTTAGAGATAATTGGATTCGATTTACAACACAAAAATCACGAGGAATCTGCAGTAAGTAAATTTTTGAATGTCATAAAGAAGGTATATAATTTCTAATAAAGATAAAAAAATATTCATTTATTTTTCTGCTTTCACCAATTAGCTGTAATAAATATTATTTAAATAACAAAGAGAATATATTAAAAAAAAAATTATTCTATAGTAAATTTTTGTACAAAGATTTTTTTAATCATTGACGAGTTAATTTTAAAGGAAAAAAAATTTGAGAAAAATCAAATTGAAACAAATAAATCTTTTACTAATTTTAAAAGATTATAAAGTTTTACATTTATGTTCAATATATATATTTATATATTTATGTATATTATATATCGTTGCTATTAAGTCGTACACAGAAAAAAACAAATTTCTTTCACCAAGAAAATTTTAAGGAAAACAATAGTTATTTTGGAGCAAGAAGAAATTTTTCTGGCTCAAGAAATTTTAACTTCATTGAAGAGATTTTCAACCTTCCTTAATACTTTCTTGAGTCAAGAAAATTTACACTCCAGTCACGATTTTTTTTTTCAGTGTAAGGTAAAGTACCCGGTACTTGAACACTTACAAAAATAGGACCAGTACTTGAACAGACATTTCGAAATGTTATAATTCAAAATCCGTGAATTTATTATGATTAATATGAGTATATTATAATTATTAAATGATACAGTAATTGATTTTTGTAAGTTTTTTCAATTTTAAATCAAAACAATCACATTTTTATGAACTTAAAAGTTTACATGTCAATAATAGCCGATAGATGTTATTTTTTTCATGAAAAAGGTACTAAATCGTAAACGAAACGAGTGTTCAACTACTACTCCTTTCGTAGTCTGTTTTAAAAACGTTCAAATATAAATAATCAATTATCTTAGTTATTTTGCGATTTAATCAATTCAAAAAGTAAAATCAAATAAGTTTTACTTTGAAACCTGTTCAACTACTGGGTACTTTATTCGATATCTTTGAATAAAGGAATTAATACATAAATAATGTAGGAAATCATTAATTTGGACAAACTTTGAAGTTAATTTTACTAAAAATAAACAATCATATTGTTATATAATATTTATTTGTCTGCTTTCTGTTTCATAATTTCATTATTTTCTGTTTCATTATTTTGTTAATTTTTTTTATTATTAATTGTTTATTTTTGGGTGAGTAAAATCCAAATTTTATCAAATAATTAATATTTACATAAATTTCTTATTTAAAGATTACTACATTTTCATTACTCGATTCAACCATAAAATTTCCTATCAGAACGAATCAATGACGACAATAATATCGATATTAAAATCCTTCTTCCTGAGATAAAATTTTCAATTATTTTTCTAGCGATTCTATGAATGTATTCCGGAGAATAATAAATTGACGCCAGATCAAGAAACGATGATAAAAAACTCGTTAAAATTAAGTGCTGACAAAAAAAGAGTACAAGATATGATTAAAAATCAGTATCAAAAAATTGTTCCATTAAAAAAGTTGCATAATATGAAGAGTAAAATTACCAATTCAGAAAATAATAACGATTTGCAATCAGTAGTCCAACTTCTTAGGGAAACGTACCGTAAGTTTAATTGCAAAAATCAAATAAAAATTCTATAATAAGTAAGCAAGACATCATCCTCCGCATGCGAAAGGGATGGACATAATTCTTTTCGCGTATTTAATTCTAAAATGTATATATATATATATATATATATATATATATGTATTTATACAAAAATCTTGAATTTGCAGAAGCCGATGTTAATGTTTACAACGATGCTGAAACATCTACCTGTAAGGGTATATTTTTTTCAACTCAAGACATGAGATCCGATCTCAGCAAATGGCCGGAAATAGTGTTCCTCGACGGCACTTACAAACTTACTAATAACGACATGACCTTCATGGTTTTCCTTGTCGAAGATGGAAACGGTCGGGGGCAAATTGCTGGAGCAGCTTTATTATCAACAGAGGAACGAGATGTCCTTGAATGGATGCTGAACGCGTTCAAATCAACTAATGAAGAAGCGTGTAAAAAAATTAAATCCTTTATGACAGATAAAGATCTGCTGGAACGTGATGTCTTGAAAACTGTCTTCCCAATGGTTCCAACGTACATATGTAGCTTCCATAGTATAAAAATTTTTGAAAGAGTTGTCAAAAATCCGGAAATGAAATTAAATAATGAAGACAAGATAGCAGTTATGGATATTTTAAAAAAATTGGTTTTTTCTTCATCGAAGGACGAATATGATGACTTATATTTAGAATTAAATTTAACGGCAACTCCTGAATTTATGACATATTTTAATATTAACTGGCACAACATTCGCGAGGAGTGGTCTATGTACAGTGTACTGCAAAATAGCCTTGGAAACACTAGCAATAACCGACTCGAATCATTAAATGGTAAGATGAAACAAGTTATTAAAAAGAATTCACCGCTATTGATAATGATAAAAGACTTTTTTCTGTGGTATGGTAGTCACAAGACCGGGAGTCTTCTTAGAACTGCTGCTCAGTTTTTAAAAAAAAAAAATTTGCAATTTGATGCCGATGATTCCGAGAAAAAGTACATGGAAACCTTGACCGAATTTGCAAGTATTAAAGTCTTAAAAGAAATGAAGCTTAGTAAAAGAATTGTTTGCTCCAACGCTGATCAAATTGACGAAAAGACATGTCACGTTGATAACTTCGAAGCATCTATTACCAAGTGTCAATGTTTAACATACATTTCGTATCAGTTGCCGTGCCGACACATTTTTGCAGTTAGAAATTATTTTCAACTAGTTTTGTTTGATAAATGTTTAGTTAACGAGCGTTGGAGTAAGAACAAGTTGCTCGGTCCAGTTAATTCATCATCTCTGTCACCTAAAAATACTACTAACAAGTCATCATCACTTTCTGTAAAAATTAAAAAACGGAAAAGAACTCAAACTGTAAGTCAAAAAAGGAAAGAAGTATCCGCCAAATTTTCTAAACTGACAAATATTATAAGCATTTTATGTGGTTCAGAATATTGTTGGAATTTAAAATTAGTCGATGTTTTAATCGAAAAAATATCCAACCATCATAAAGTAAAAGTTGTAGACGTCCATTCAGACAAAGAAGATATAGAAACTAGTTTTCAAAATTTATCTATTGAACCAACCGGAAGTGATAAATATTTAAATAAAATAAGAACTCCCTCAAGAGTTAAAGTACGTGGACGTCCAAGCGGATATTTGGACACAACAAAATGCATCAAAAAAAAAACTTAATGATTGTTTTACTGCTGTCATATAATAGTAAATATTCTTCTACCACTGTTCGTAGTTTGTGGATGGATATTCGAACGCAAAAGAGTATTGTTTCTTTTAAGTAAAACATGCAATTGTTGTAATAGTGTACATAAGACTGCTGACGATATTGATTGGGGGGAAGAAATAATCGCCATCAATGCAGGATATTAATTATTTATATTAACTTAAATGTTATTATGTAATGTCAGATAAGAACAGCAATTCTTAGTATTTTAAACTTTATTTTTATACTTATTAATAAGTAATTAATTAGTAATTAATAAATATAAGAATATTTCGATAAAATTACATATGAGAAAATAAGACAAAAAACTGACCTTATTTAGCCAAATAATAATAATAATAATAATAATAATAATAATAATAATAATAATAATAATAATAATAATAATAATAATAATAATATGTAATGTTTTAATTAGACAAATGTTTAACATGACTATAATATTTATAAGAGTTATATATTTGTAATATTTTCATTTAAAACATTTTCCAAACTTTTCAGAATAATAAAATAAAATATTAGTAACGAAAAAAAAAAATTAGGAAAACGGTTGACCCTGAAGGCCATCCCTGCAACTTCCCGCCAATTCTATACCTAAACGCTTGAAATTGCATTTATGAACTTTTAGAGCTCTTCGAGCTCATAAATACAATTTGTTTATTATTTTTAGCTCTCCGAGCTCGAAAAAATAGCTTTTGTACGCTTTTGAGCTCTTCGAGCTCAAAAGTTTGATAGAAGTTTGATAAAACACTATTTTTT